GGCGAAGGCTCGACCTAAGTCGCTCTTGCCGCCACGGGCGAGGCGAACTGCGATCCGACACAACCGTTCGATACGGGTGCGGACGCCCTCCTGGCAGGGCGAGACCGTGGCGCGGACGCGAGCCTCGGCGGGAGCGAGGCTGGGGTGACCCAAGGTGAGCCAGTTCAACGCAATAACCGAATACTGCGCGAGCGTCCGCGCCGCGCGCCGCAGTCTCCAGCGCTCCCTGCGCCTCGCCGACAAGCCGTCAGGCGGGGGACCAAGAGGTGGAGCAGGCGGGCACGGCCAAGGATCGCGGGGAGGCGGCCCCAAAAGGTACGGGCCGTCCCTGTCCATTGCACGCATAGATGAGCGGGAGAAAGATCCAAGAGAACATCGAGCACCCATCCCAACCTGGGACAGCGCTGCTGCCCAGTGGGTGATATCAATGTTCGCGCCTGGGAACAGGCGCAGCAAGGCAGACAAGTCAGCGACGAATGGCGCGACTTTGGCAAGAGCAGCAGGGGTGCTTGAAGGAGAACAGGCACCAGCAGGGACACCAACCTCAGGGGCTGCAGGCCCCCTGGAGGGCGCGCTCGACTGAGGCAAGCGTCGGCCAAAATGGCCGAAGGGATCCGAGAAGCGGTTCGGAGCAGAGCGAAGGGCGTGGTGGCGGAACGTACTCCTCCCTGCGGGGCCGCAACAGCATCGCTGGAAGAGCGCATTCCTACCCTCACGCCCTCGCTGTGCCCAAACGCGCCTAGCAACCGTAACAGCGTCGGTGCAGTCTGCGTGCGGCGGCGTACCCCGGCCCCGCGAAGGCCCACCCTTCCAGGAGGCGGGCGCCAAAGGCGCCTTCAGTCCTTCTTGGGCACCGCCTTCGGTGCCTTGGAAGCACCCTGGGACTTGAAGGGCTGCTTCGAAACCTTGGGCTGCTTGGGCTGGTGAGGTGGATGCTTGGGGAGCGCGTCGGCGCGCTCGGCGTCGAGACGCGCCCGAAATGCTTGCAGCTCCTTCACGTATTCGCCCTGCGCCGACAGCCAGCGAGGATCCACCAGGGGTGAAAACGGGGTCTGGGCCTCGCGCTCCGTGTGACGACTGGTCACGCGACACGGGGGAGGCTCCAGTCCCGTGAGGAACCAGGCGGCCTCGAGATAGCCGCGGTCCCCCGCCAGCTGGTCGATGAACATACACTGACACGTCAGAAGAGTCTGGACTCTCTCGGGGTTGCCCTCCTCGCAGGCCCGCCACAGCTCGGCGCTGAGGAAGGCGAAATGCGTCAACAACTCGTGCGTCGTCGGCTGAGCCCCCAAAGGACTGTGCTCCCGAAAGTACTGATGCATGGCCATGGGGGTCACGGCGCTGACTTCCACGCCCAGAACGCGGGCCAAATTCTCCTTCATCAGCCCTCGCACGTCGGGGCCGTGCTGTATCAGCGCTTGCTGCCACTCGCGCCTCCGAGCAATGCCCCCCATCTGAGCCGATGCGGGCGCGGGGTCGCCCGAACTCGCGGGCGGAGATTGAGCTGAGTCGCTCAGGGTCCCCAGCAGCGGATGGACGGTTGGGCGATGGCCCCGCCCCTGCTGCAGAAGGAGGGACTGGTGCAGGCACTGTAGCATGAGGCTGAGGTCCGTCGGATTGGCCGCATGGGGCGGCTCTGACCCGTCGGCGCCGCCCACCTCGGCAAAGCCGTCGGCCGCAGCGGGATGGGCTAGCCCAGGTGGCGGCGGGGGACCCATCGTTCCGAAACCGGACGAAGGGGCCCGAGGGACAGCAAGAGAGCGCGCCTTTTCCCACGCCGAGACCAGCGCGGAGGTCGGACCCTTGGGACGCGCGGAGACCCGCTGTGGAGCCACGGGCGCGTGGGACAGGGCGGCCTCGATCCCCGCAGGATCCAGCCCGAGGCGCACCGCTTCGTCGCTGAAAAGCTGAGGCACCTCGGGCCGATCGCTCCGAGCAGCCGGAGCGGAGCCCAGCGGCTCGGGTCGGCCGACCATCGTGGAGGCCGCGTGGGCTGCAAGCAAAGCGCGCATTTCGGCAGCTACTTCGGCACGAGTCATAGGAGCCCCGTCGTCCAGAGCCGCCGCAGGGGCACCAGGAGCGATCGGAGCGGGACCCGCGACCCGTGGCGGCGCGGCTGTGGCCGCGCGCTTCGCGGGCGGGCCGCGCGGCGCTCCAGCGTCCGCGGGAGATCGCGCACTTGGGGCCGTGCGTTCGGCTTCCTCGTCGGCCGCGAACCCTTCGGGCTCCTCCATCTCGTCGGCAGAGTGATAGGGAGTAGCCCGATCGGCCCCTGGGAGCGGCTCTTCCCCTGCGGTAGGCGGGGCGCCGTGCAAGCGTGCGTAACCCTCGCGAAGCACCCGAACCCCTGAAGGATGAGGCCAATAGACGCGGCCCCGCACCTCGGCGAAGGGAACGATGGCTGCGTCCTCGCCGAACTCTAGAGGGTAAAGCGACTCGAGCTCGAGCTCTGCAACCTCGATATCCACGACGAGGACGGATGCAGTAGTGGCGAGCGGCCGCGAAGCGGCCCCCTGGAGCTGGACGTCCACTAGCTGGAAAGGGCCTATCATCCCAGCAAAACCCCCCGCCTCGGCAGCCTCGAGCTCCGCCGTAGGGCGAAAGGCGCCAGGCAGGGCCAGAAGGATGCCCCCTTCTCGAGACGCGAGGGGGATAGCTGCCCAGCTGGTGTCGCCGTCGTCTAAACGCCATCGTGCGTAGCCGCGAGCCGTGGGAGCCGCGAATGGGTAGAGCTCGGGCCATAGAGGCCCTCCGCCGACTGGTGGCAGCTCGGCCATCAATGGGTGATGCCGTGGGAGCTGCTCCCCGAAGGCTGGGCGTCTGCCCGCTCGAGCGCTCGAGGCCGAGGCGGAACCCCGTAAGCCAGCGCTCGCGCCGCACGGCGGTCCTGCCCAAGGGAGGCAGGCACCGCTCCGCGCGGCCAGACGGAGGCCCTGAGTCTCCGCCACACGTGCGGGCCCAGCAGCCCGAAGCAGCAGCCTGCGCAGGCGCTGCACGCGGCCGTCACCCAAAGGAGGGCGACGACCGTGCTGAGCAGCCAGGGAGAGACCCCGCCGCTCAGATCCACCGCCAGCCCGAGGCAGACGGTGGGGCAGGCGGAACCCGCCGAAGGGAGGGGACAGTAAGCCCCCTCACCCTCGGACGAGTCCGCCTGCTGGATGGACCAGGCCGGTGCAGGAGGCCCTGGGTCCTGAAGCACAGAGAGGGGGGCGGACACGAGCCGCTCGTAGAGCGCGGCCCGCAGCCCCCTGAAGAAGATCTCCCCAGCGCCTCCGAGAGCCGCTTGTGCGAGCGCCTGCATAAGGCGTCCGCACGCGCGGCCGACGGGGGGGCACTTGGGCAGAGAAGCTGCGGAGACAGCAGGAGCTTGCTCACAGAGAATAGAAGAAGCATATATATATATATATATATACACACACACACACACCTGGAATATGTAGGTCCTGCCGCCTGCTGCGGGGGGGGCCACAATTCCTATGCCACAGGGGAACCGCAAGCACGGGGGGGCCCTAAGCCTGGCTGCCCCGGAGCCCAGAAACGGCCCCCGCGCCAAGAGCTAGCACAGGCCTCAGTCCTGAATTGTTTCATGACGTCCGAGGTCTGGGGACGCCTCCGACGACGTCGTCGTCGTCGTCGTCGTCGTCGGGTACTGGCGACGACGACCACGTCGCCGCCGTCGTCGCCGTCGCCGTCATCGTCGTCGTCGTCGTCGTCGTCGGAGACAGAGACATCCTCCGACAGGGGTTCGGTTCGATCTGCGGCCCCAGAACTCCCGACCCCTTCCCTGGAGGTAGCTTTGCGCCGCGCATCCGCTCCTGGTGGTCACTGGAGCCTGATGACATGCCAAAGCAGCCGAAATCGGGGGGAAAAAAAGGATCGGACTCAACAGACTCTTGTCGGACCCAGGATCGGACTCAACAAACTCTTGTCGTACTCTTGTCAATACGGGATCCCTGGCAGTCTGGACCTTTTCCCCAGGGCAGGCTCTTCATCGAGAGCCATGTCTTGACAGCCCCATGGTCCGGCGAGCGCCTCCCGAGGCCAGAAACAGCGAAGAGCTTCTGCGTCACGCTCATCGGAACATTGGGGGCTGCGGAGATCTGGGAGGGCCTCGATGTATACACAACGCCATTGGGTCGGCCAAGAAGCGGTGTCTAGACGCCTCAGCTGCCCAACCTGTGGGACGCTGGAGCGTCTATGAGTGAACCGAATCCCTTCGCCGAACTTCCTGGCTCCCCGGCCAACCCAACGACGTGGTGTGTACTGTCGGGACCTTTTGCTTACTTTTGCTTAGCGTGTCGCGGCGGCGGCCCTGGCGACACGCTGTGCTTTGCGAGTGGTTAGCGTGTCACACCGCTCCGCGGGGCGGGAAGCTCGGGAAAGCTCGGGACGTTGACGCTTGAAACTGGGGACGTGGATAGCGTGTCGCGCCCAAGCGTGGTGGGCCAGACTGGCGCCGCGACACGCTATCCAAAAAATACCGACCGTACCCAGACATCTGGCGTCTCGATTTCTGCGAAACACGGACCCCCGAGCTCTCGACCACTCTGGACCGGTGTTCCATCCCGAGCCGTTTTTCAACGGTCCCGAGGCCCCGCAAGGACCCCGAGAGGCTGCGAACGACGGAACACCTCCGCCTCGCTTTCCTCGCAACGCCAGATGCCTGGGCCCGACCGCAGATGCGAGCCCCTCCGAAGATCTGAGCTTTGGGCAGGCGGCGGCCGGCGCGGCGACGGCACGCGGCGATGGCGCGCGGCAGTGGCGAGAGGAGGAGGAGGAGGAGGAGGAGGAGGAGGAGGACGAGGAGGAGGTGGAGGAGGAGGAGGAAAGGTGGTGGAGGAGGAGGGGGAGGTGGTGGAGAAGGAGGAGCAGGAGGAGGAGGTGAAGGAGGAGGAGGAGGAGGTGGAGGAGGAGGTGGAGGAGGAGGAGGAGGAAAAGGTGGTGGAGGAGGAGGGGGGGAAGGAGGAGGAGGAGGAGGAGGAGGAGGAGGAGGAGGAAGCCTGGACCGCCGGCCCGCCGTCGGCGGAGGCGGCCGGCCGGCTCCCGCTCTGCAGCGGCCCCGCGTCCTGGGCGGGGGGGGGCCGATGCCCGATCCGACCAGCCACAACTGGGGAGCTGTGGTCCTTACCCCCCTGGGGGAACCCATCGCCTCGACGATCTCTCGAGAGGCGTGTCGAAATCGATGGGTCCCCCAGGGGGGTAAGGACCACAGCTCCCCCAGTTGTGGCTGGCCTGCCGATACGCCCCGCCTCCCGGGAGCCCCGCCTCCCAGCCCAGGATGGCATCGACGAGTCGGGTCGGCGATCGACGCGAATCGGACCGGCGGTGACGGGCGCCCCAGGCCCGGGAGGAGTCGGATCGGCAGAGATCGGCAGGCCAGCAAGGTCTCCGTGGAGACGCCGAAATCTGAATCGGAATCCGAGGTCGAATCGAATGGGAATCGGAATCGATCGGCATCGGATCGAATCGAATCGGAGGGGTCAAATGAGCCCTCCTCCTCGGGGTGTCTCCCCTGTCCTCATGCTCCTCCTCCCGCCCCCTCCTCTCTAGCAACCCTCCTTTCCGCCTTCTTTACTTGCAAAGGAGTGGGCGGTGGGCCAAGTTCTAACTAACCTCATGCCCGTGAGAATAAACACTAGGGGATAATAAAGTTCGGGGTTCAGGGAGAGATAATAAAAGTAGCCCAGCAGACCTCAGCATAATCTCGAAGTAAGAGATGATCAAGAGGGGACCAAGCCGAGCACGTTTTGAGACATCCTTGGCGTTTAGTTTTCATAAAAATATCCTCAACAATGGCTTATCTTTCATGAAAATTGTTTTTTTGTAAGTGCTCGTGTAGGGTAGCTAATGTGCCTCAATTTCCATGGATAATCAACCCCAGAGATAAAAAAGTTCAGGCGAGCGTGGGGACAGAGAGAAATGTAAAAGAAGAAGAATACAGTATAAGAACAATAAGAAAGAAGAATAAGAGGAGAATAAGAAGAGGACGAAGAAAGGAAAAATCCAAAGTTCCAAATCTATCAATTTTAATTTACAAGCGCTTTATGAAAATTGTTTTTTTAAGTGCTCGTGTAGGGTAGCTCATGTGCTTCATTTTCCATGGATAATCAACCCCAGGGATAAAAAAGTTCAGGCGAGCGTGAGGACAGATAGAAATATAAAAGAAGAAGAGGAAAGTAGAAGAATAATAAGAACATTGCTCGTTTCGTTTGAGTCTGCCTCCCAAAATTATTGGTTTCGCTTGACACATCCTGAAAAAGTGTGATCGCTTCGCTTGATGTTGCTATATCAACATCGCTTGATGTTGCTATCTCAACATAGCGTTTCGAGGTGATAATGAAGTTCGGCCTCAGCGCTCGCCGCCCAATTTGAATTTTGTATGGGGCGACGATAATCAACTCTAAACACTGAAGGGGGGTCCCTTTATTATCATCGGAATGCGGTTAACCCTTCTTGGGCCCTTCAAAAAGGTTACCTATCTGATGGGGTCTCGGCTCAACCCGTTAGCCACTCGAAAGCATCCGTAAAACTGGCTCCCATCGCTTTTCCTGCCCCTTCAAGACGGCAAAATTGGAAGATGGCCTCCAAGACGGTCCCAAGGCGCTTCCAAGATGGTCCCACGAGGGCCCAAGATGCCACCAAGACGGCCCACGATGATTCAAAGACGGTCCAATATGCCCTCCAGACGGCCCAAGAAGCCCAGAAGACGCCCCGAGAGGGCTCCAACAGAATCTCCAGAAGATCCATACACTGCTTCTGTCCCTCGAGCTTCAAACTGTTTCCGCGTTCTCACACCGAGAACGGCCCCCGAGGCCTCCAAGACGGCCCCAGAAGGCCCCCAGATGGCCCCCAAACAGCCCAAGAAGCCCCAAAGACGGCCCCAAAGGAGCCCAAGACGACCCCACAACGACGGCCCTGAAGCGCCAAAAGAAGGCCCCAAGATGGCCCCAAGTTGGCCTCCGAATGCCAAGAGGCCCAGTAGGCCCCTAGACACCCCCAAGAGGCTTCAGGAAGCCACAGAGGCCCTCGTGAGGCTCTCAGGAGGCCTCCAGGAGACTCCAAGAGGCCGCAAAGAGGCTTCCTATCCTGCGCCTCCTCCTCCTCCTCCTTCTCCTCCTCCTCCTCCTCCTCCTCCTCCTCCTCCTCCTCCTCCTCCTCATCATCATCATCATCATCATCATCATCATCATCATCATCATCATCATCACCATCACCATCATCATCATCATCATCATCATCATCATCAGCATCATCATCATCATCATCATCATCATCGTCATCACCATCATCATCATCATCATCAGCAGCATCATCAGCATCAGCATCAGCATCAGCATCATCATCATCAGCATCATCATCATCATCACCGCCACCACCATCATCACCATCACCATCACCATCACCATCACCATCACCATCACCATCACCATCGGCATCAGCATCAGCATCAGCATCAACATCACCATCATCATCAGCATCATCATCATTATCCACATCATCATCATCATCAGCATCATCATCATGATCATCATCATCATCATCATCATCATCATCACCATCACCGTCACCATCATCACCATCACCATCACCATCATCATCAGCAGCAGCATCATCATCATAATCAGCATCATCATCACGATCATCATGATCCTTTCCTGACCCTCATCCTTCCCGTCCTCCTTTTTCTCCATCCTCCTGCTGCTTCTTTTCTCCATCCTCCGTTCTCTCCCTCCTCCTCCAACGACTGGGGGAACGCATGGTCCAACAGCTTGGCGAAACTCTAGCCTAACGTTTGGTCACATAGGCCTTTCTGGAAAGGCGTGGGGGCGGCGGTGGCTCGCCGAAGTCGTCTCCGGTGGCTACTGTCGATCCCCCGTCCCCTCCTCAAAAATCCTACCCTGGACCCTCTCCGGGAGTGAGTTCTGACCAGACCTTCGAGGATGATCCAGCCACGACGACGCAGAAGAGACCCACAAAACGCCCAAGGCTTCCTCGAGCCTCTTACCTCGATCGGATATAGCCATCTCCGTCCCTCAGAAGGAGGGGCAGCAGCAGCAGGAAGGGTCGGCTTGAAAAGGGGTCGTTCGATGTTGGCCGATTCTGGGCACTTGAACGCCTGCCTTCCCCTTGCGCTCCTCATGCACCTCGTAGAAAATGAGGCCTGAAAGCTTCGCCCATGACCGGAAGTTTCTTATAGGAGCACTTTGACTGTAGCAGACCCCTTCTCGCCATGCGCGGTGTCAAAATCTCCCCCCACGCTGGGCCGCTGCAGAGTTGCGTTCCGGTCGGAATCTCCCAGCCGTGGCCACGAGAAGCGTCCCAGAGCCGCAGAAAGAAGTTAGAGTCCCCAAACAGTTAATGTCGTCGACCGATGGTCCCTCAGGAGGAGCCGCAGCAGGAAGGGGCCGACTTGCACGATGGGGGGCGGCCGTGTGCTCGCCGAGAGAAGAAGCATGCATGGGATTCTGAAGCTGTCGGCGCTAGCCACCAGACCTCGGGAACCGAGACCTGCAACCTGAGAGGTGTCGGAAGCGGGCTCCCTTTTGCTATCCTTGGAATGATGCCCGGAAGCGAATCCCGCCTTCTGCGGGATCACTGGCCCCACGCTGAGGACAGCACCGACCTTCATGAACGCATGTTCTTGTTGAAGACAAGGGCGAACGTAGCCTTCATCGATGTGTTCCATCAAGGCCAAAAACGACTGCTTGCCCCTCGAGGAACATGGATGCCCTCCTCATGGCACAGCCTACGCCCCCAGGCTGTTGGCTCTTCTGCCCCGAAGGAACTGCGTGATGCAGCTTACCCGATGCGGTCCCGAATGAGATGACTCGGACTCAAATGCGGATCGGCACCTTGGCAGAAAGGGTGCCCAGATCCGCCACTCTCTGCTCGCCCCCGTCTGGCAACATCCACTTGCCTCATCCTCATCCTCAGCTTTGCCTTCAGGCAGGACGGCCCTCCAGGAAGCGGCAACAGCAGCAGGAAGGGTCAGCCTGGAGAGGAGTCGGGCGCGTCGTCCGAGAAGGGGGGGGTCGCAAATCGTGTTCCGAGGCACGCGCGCGGACGAGCGGGAACCCGGGGTGGTGCTGGGAGAAGAAGGAGGAGGAGGAGGAGGAGGAGGAGGAGAAGGAGAAGAAGAAGGAGGAGAAGAAGAAGAAGAGGGGGCCATAATATTCAGGGAGATATCACGGCCCCGGCCATGCTATACCCCCCCCCTAGTCATCGCCATCCTCCACACACACACACACGACGTCGTGCTTTTCTCGCAACGTGCGCCCCCCCAAGGTCTCGACCCCTTGCGCGGGACAGGCTCTTCCCCCCGCGAGTCGATCTCTGACCGTCCCAGGGCCCGCCACGGGCCCCCCCCCCCGGAAGGCCGACCGCATGACAGCGAACCGCCCGCTGGGATTTGTGTCACGACTCGATCGGGTGTGGATCGCCAATGGAGGTCAAAAAATCCACCCCCATAATAAAACAACCCGGCACGAGAAGTCGCTAGGTAAAAGCGCCCAAAGAAGGAATCGAACAGGGCAGGGCTGTTTGGTAAACGCCCAGAGGGCCGTTTAGCAAACGCCAATTGTCCGGTCCGGGTGGTCTTTCCTCCCTTGAGTCCCGCTCCCCGGAAAGACAGGGGGGGGGGGCGCGAAGGGGGGCGCCGTCCTGCGCGGGTCCGTCGGCGCCCTCCAGCCTCGCGATCCTCTGCTCCTCTCGGGCGGGGCGCGGGGCCCTCCCGCCTCGTCCGCCCCCCCCCCAACAAAAACAACCCGCCTCCTCATCCATCGTCCTCCCTCCTCGCGAGGGGCAGCGAGAGAGGGAGACTGGCAGAAGGGGAACGCATCGATCTGCCATCGGTGGACACATCGCTGACAGATCGGCGATGGGCCCCCGATGATAGATGCGCACTTTCCTGAGCAGGCTGGGGCTATCGGGCCCCTATCAGTCTTCAGTGGGCGATTGGGGGTCGATACATCCCCCCCTATGCCCATCCCCCCCATCCTTGCCTCTGGCCTCGTCGTCCCAAATCCTCCCTCCATCCCTTGGCTGCGCCGCGCCCCCCCCCCCCCCAACAGCAGGGCAGAATTGGCCCGCCGGCACGCCTGGGGGATTTGTGATCGGATGCGTGGAAAAACCTCTCGCCAATAGTCGTGGCAAGCTTAGCCTTCTCGTAGGGCCACTGCTGATTGCAGCGGCGTTGCCGTGCTGATGGGAAGTGCAGGCGCCCGAACGCAGTGCAACATCGTTGTTCGCGCATTCCCAACAGAAGCTCCTCGAAAGGTCCTCCCTCAATCCCTCTTCCTTACAGGTAGACGCCCCTCCCAACACCAGACGTGTTCGCAGGCCAGGCCGAGCGTTTCGCTTGAAACATCCTGCCAAAATGATGTCCTGCCGATCACATGCATGGATGAAGGGCCCCGTCCACATTCGTGCTTGAACGTTCCCATCAGTTACCTAATCCCCACATTTGCAGATAAGAGGGAGGGGTGCACCAGCGGAGTGCATGTTTGTGCCGTGGCCCATAGGCGTGTGCGACTTGGCGTTGGAGGGAGATGTGCGCGTGTCTTTCGCAAAGCCATGTTCCGTAGCTGTTTGGGCTCAAGCTTGCCGCAGGTTTGCTGGTGGCGACCGTGCGCGCCCATGGCTCCTAAGTGAGGCAAAGGCCGTGCCCTAAGCGAAAGCGCAGGTGAGTAGACAACGTCGGGGGTTCGTCTTGCAGCCTCGCGACGGTGGGCTGGGGGCGCACAACGCTACGAAGCGGCAGGCTGCCCTCGCGAGCCCCCGGGCCCCGGCCGCTACCAGGAGGGCCCAGCTTGTGGATGCCCCCGCTGGGTGCTGACTGACGCTCCCGACGCTCGCAAGATGGACTGCTGGCTGGGCCGCGTGCCGTGCCCCGCCGGGCAAACAGCCGACGGGCACGTGCGGTGCGATCCCCAGGCGGCAGCACGCTGCTGGCGCACGCGCCCACCGGTGCCGTGCGGTCGCGCCGAGAGCAGGGGAGCAGCGGTGCGGGCCGCGGCGGCTGCGGCGGAGGCTGCTGCTCGCGCGGGCACGGTGCCTGCAGGGCGCTTCTGGGCAGAGGTGGTCCTTAGAGGAAAGAGAACTATGCACATACACCGATTCTGGCCAGGCCCAACCCTGAGCCCAGAATCGGTGCATACGCCCTCTTACCTTGGCCAGGAATGTATATGGACCGATCCTGGGTCGAGGATGGGCGTTGTCAGGATCGGTGCATGTGCATAGTTCTCCTCGCCCGAGTCCTGAGCGCTCGGCGCAGGGTTCCCCTGAGCGGGCCTCTGGCAGACCGCAGCGCGGTGGAAGGCGAGGGCGCCGCGGCGGCTGCGGGATCCCCGGGCGAGGGCGCCCCGATGGGGCGCGTCTCTTCCCGAGTCTGCCGCGAGCCGGTGGGCCCGCCGAAAGCAATGCCAGCTTCCTGCTCCGATGAATTCTGTTTCCCCTTCGTCCATCCCCAGTGTCCGTCCCCAGTGTCCGTCCCTAGTGTGCATCCCCAGTGTTCATCCCCAGTGTCCATCCCCAGTGTCCATCAGTGTCCATCCCGGATGCGAACCCTTCGGGATTGCCAACGCAACGCACGCCCAGGGAAGAAGTAATCCTGTTCGGGCACCCCTCTCTCTGAGAAGAATGGGGGACTGGTGGTCTCGCACAAACTGCTCGAAACCCCGCGTCGCAAATTTGATTGATTACCCCAAGCAACTACAATGGTCGAGGCTAGTGCGTATTCAAGATGCAGATATCGTTGAAGACTGCAATTTAGCTGGGTTGGGCATGTATTGGTCGCAGCACTTCGCCATGTTCCATCCTCGTTGCCTCTCAACAAGGGCGTGTTTGCTGCGCGTGCGTGGTTGCAGATCGCTCGGTTGGGTAATGGAAAACACGTGCTGGATGTCCAGTCGTTCCCATGGCATGTCGGCTGGCAAATTTCCTTTTAAGATCCAGCCCATCACGCGCTGGTCGAACGGTGCGAGGCAGACTCCTGGATTCCGGGCAGTCGCCAGCTGCTCGCAACCTGTCATCTGTCGTGAACTGCTTCTGGATGCTCCATACTTGCTGGTATCACAAGGGGGTCGGCGACGTAGAGAAACAATGAAGTTGTCCTCAGTAGCAGCTTGCCGAGGTCGATATGGTCGTTCTCGCAGTCGGCCAAGTACTTCAGTTCCCAATGTTGTTCTCGGCAACGTGATGGTAGTGGCTGTCTTCGGGGATCTGGTGGGTCCCTCGTTCTGGTCGTTCTCCACGTTTCAAGTGGTGGTAGTTCTGCAGATAGGACTGCCACTCTGCCTTCTCGCATGCATCCAGAAACAAACAGCTGTAGCCTGGTTAGTTAAGCCGCCCTGGATGGCATGGATGCCGACGCCGATAGATAGGCATACGTCTGAATGCTGTCAGTCGGTTGAAAGTGCTCTCTCCGACGCTACCCGCTGCACAGGTGGAGCACAAAGCGAGTGATCTCCTTGGTGACTCGCGGGACCGTTGGATTCCGCACGGAGGGGACGGTGGGAGGCAGTGCGACTGGCGTTATCTTGTCGTGGGTGGCGTCGCGGTCCGTGGCATAGTCTGGCGGGGCGTCTATTTTGTAGCTCGACTGGTCGGCGTAATCGGGGGGCCTCCCCGCTGAGATATTGGCTCGCTGGGTAGCCAGGACTTGTTGCCTGTTCTGCTCGATCGTCTCGTCAGGTAGTTAGCGCACCACCTTCATCCATGGTATTGCGCAAAACGGCGTCGCCTGTGGTGCTTGACCAGAAGGGCGTATGCGTGACACTCCCAACTGCATGTTCTGGGCGTCGCATGGCGCCGCACTGGTAGCATATGAGGTGGGAGTTCGGCGGTGGTGGTGGTGCCGAGGTGGGTAATGCCGGCATCTCCTCCATACTCTGGCATGGTTCGAGCTCGTGGTACCAGCTCCCTATGTTTGCTCGGTCCTGCTGCCGTCGCAGGCGTCTGCTGATTGCCTTTTTGACTTCTGCGCGGAAGCGGAGGGGCGGGTCCTCTCGTAACTATTGCTCGTGCCGATTTGCCCAGGTCCATGTTGGACGTTTGCCTGTCTTCCTGGCTAATGCGGTCGTAAAAACATTCGATGTCCTGAGTGACCGTCGTAGTCCAACTTGTGCTGTGTCTTGCGCCCTCGTCAAGAATTTTACGTAGGGTGGTAGGACCATGTAGGAATCGCCTCGGTAGGTACAGCAATCTCCCTGTTCTCCTGGAGATGTCAAGAAGTAGTCGAACGGCGTGGCTGAGGACCTGGAGGTTGGACGAGTGCTTATCCTGGTGCCTGGTGGCATGCCTGTATCTTGGTCCGTGCGTAGTCGTTGTGCGAGAGGGTCGGGTGCACCAGAGAGTCAATGCAGAAGACCTGATTGTAGGTCGGCATGTTCGGTCTCTTGAAGGTCTACTTGCGTCAAGGGCCCCTGCTGGTCATGGCCTCGATTGTTCAGCCTGGGTGTCGACTAGCTCAACGGGCTGATCCGAGAAGGCGCTCTTGATGGTGGCGGTGACTCCCTCGCAGGTCTGGAGATTTGGCAATTCGTAGGTATTCAGGATAGGCTCTGTCACGTCGAGTGTCGATCAAACCGTTGGTGTCATCTGCCGTCCTCGGGAATGGCTCGCCTGTTCGGCCCCCTCTCGCATGGAGCAGGGTTGGTCAGCGGCTGGGCTTTGTCTGGGCCGGACGTGACTAGTTGCAGCCTGCTGTGCGCGTTCTGCGTGCGCTCCCGATGTAGAGCTTGGGGCGCTGTCGGCGCCGTAGCTGTGACCTGCAATCGGCCCAGCGGCCTGGGTGTCAAACTGCCCCGGAGATTGGAGTGGGCACCCCGCATCATGTACCCCCTCTCATCGGACCAGGTGTTCTTGACTCCAACTCCGTGCTCTTTCGGGATTGTCGGTGCCCATTGGCTCCGTGTCGCCAGGAGCCCTAAGACTGGAGGAATCGCAAGGAATTCCGAAAACATCTGTCATTGGGATTGCATCGGAATTCCTCCGAAATAATCATGAGTGTTAGTTACTCAGGAGCCCTGAAGACAACCATTATATACTCATACATAGGACTCCGAAGATACCTGGAATCATTCTCAACAAGAATCACACGGAATCTTGAAGAATCTGGGGGATGTCTCCTCGGCGGGCCCACGGACTCCTCGTGGAATCCTGATGATGTCGTCCTGTGGAATCCTGATGCTATCATGCGGAATACAAAGCATCTTCTTCATCATTGTGAAAACCACTGAAAATAACAGCAAACTCCAAATAAGTGTGAGCCCCTTTCCAAAGAGCTATTTTGCATCATTCGCGATAACGCCCGTGACCGGCCCCACCCACCCCTACCCACCCACGGATCACGTCACGATTCGCGCTGGCGCCGTCTTGGAATGAGCCATTCCTCCTGCGCGTTCCCACCCAGCGCTGGCGCGAATCGCGACCTGACCGGGCCCCTGCCTTCCTTCCCCACCCCCCTCCGGTCACGCCCGTTCTCTTCAGGGAGTGAAGAAACGCTCTCTGGGCGGGGAGGGGCTTCCCTGCTCCCCGATCGACGGGCAGGGGACTGCGCAGCACTCGTTCGACTTCGCCGGCTCAGGCGGAGGGCACAGGCCAGGCTGAGCAGCGCCATGGGAGGAGGAGGCGGAGGAAAGGAGGGGGAAGGGACGTCGGCAGCCGCTCACAAAACAAGCACCTGTAGAAACATGTGGCCAGGATCTTCTGCTCAGCGTGTCGCGGCGGCGGCCCAGGCGATGCGCTATTCCTCGCAACATGATTGCGCGTTGCTCCGCTCCGTGGGGCAGGAGGCTGGGAAAGGCTCGGAGCGTTGATGCCTGCGGGCCAGGACATGGATAGCGTGTCGAGCCGAAGCGAGCGGATTTTTTGGGGGTCGGCGCCAGGCTCTTGCGAGGGGCATGGGGAGGGGGGACGGGTGCCAGCCCATGCAATCGGCGCGGACCTCCGATCGTTGGCGCTTGTGCCCTCTTCTGGTCTTCTGCCATCAGCCAGGCCACCGCCGACAACAAGCCGTCGCCGTCGCCGTCAACGTGAGCGCCGTAGCCGTTGCCAGAACCGGCGGAGCGACACGCCAAGGAGGAGGAGGAGGAGGAGGAGGAGGAGGAGGAGGAGGAGGAGGGAGGAGGGGAGGAGGAGGAGGAGGAGGAGGAGGAGGAGGATGAGGATGAGGAGGATGAGGATGAGGAGGAGGAGGAGGAGGAGGAGGAGGGAGGAGGAGGAGGAGGAGGAGGAGGGAGGAGGACGCGCTTCGCGCGACGCCAAAGCTCCGGACCGAACACCGTTGGAAGTCCGCGCGGACTTCGTGGGGGCGGCGCTGGGCTCCCCTCCCCTGCCGCGCTCCCCGGGGGGGTCCCAGCGCCGACGGGGGGAGTCCCAGCGCCGACCCTGGGACTCCGCGCGGACCTCCGACATGTTGTGTGTGTGCCGCTGTCGCTGCACGATGGTCGTGTTCTCTGTTTTCGGCCCCGTTCTACGGTCTCGGGCAGGCCTGTCGGCCTTCTGGGCCTCTGGTTCTGCGGCGCTCTCAGGCCCGTCGGTCGGTTCCTTGTCGGCCTTGGCCCCGAGGTCATTTTCGTTTCTGGACTGACATCTGAAGGACGCAACTAGCCCTGCACCCTGTACGCAACCAAACGCAGACTGCCGACAGCCGGCGGCGCTGGCGCGACAGGCCAGAGGACGGGCGGCCAGCTTATCCAGGCCAGGGTAGACCCTGAGATGGCTCCGGTGGCAGATTTTTATGCTCGTGACGCTTTTCATGCGGATCCGAATCCATACAAGCGCACGCTGATATATGGCAGCGTTGAGCAGTCCGCGTCGAGGACCAATGCGTTCTCTGGCTCTGAGGTGTTCTGGAGCTTGTGCGTCAGATGGAGCTGCACTGCAACAAGACAGGAGTCGTGCCCCTACCTCAGCGCAGCCCAGGCCCAGAAGGCGTGGGACACCGAACTCCCGCTCGGGGTGCCAGCGCCGATGAGCGTGGCGGCGTGGGAGGCGTGGCAGGCCCGAGCGAACGTGAACGCTGCTGCAATAGGTCTGAGGCGGCGGAATGAGATGCATTGAAGTGCCAGACGGGCACTGCCCTCTGGACACTGCGAGTCATGTTCCCCTATGCGTACCCCTTCCCTCCTCCTCCTCCTCCTCCTCCTCCTCCTCCTCCTCCTCCTCCTCCTCCTCTTCCTCCTCCTCATCTTCCCTCAAAGTCCCTTCCATCGCAGACTACTCCAAAAATGCGTTTCAAACATCAGATTCTTGAAGGCAGCCATGGCGACGAGAAGCCACCCAGAGTGCCAAGACCTGGAACCGCGATCCTCGAACAGCAATCCTCGATCCTGCTCCCCCAGTGAAGGTACATCACGCTGGCGCGGACGCTCCATCGCGTCGGCCCGCTTGGACCACTCGTCCAGGGTCGTCGGGCCGACGCAAGCCGTCCTCGGTGCGGCGCTAGCGACTCACGTCCACCGTTGATGACACCCCCTGCCCATCCTCGTCCCCCTCGTCCTCATCCCCTCCCTCCACCTCCTCTTCCTTCATCATCCTGCTCCTCCTGCTGCACTCCTCCTCCTCCTCCGAGAGCCGCGGGTCCCTTTGCCGCGGGTGCTTTGTTGTCGGGAGCCGGCCCACTCCCTCACCGCCCCCCAAGAAGGGCGGCTCCCCCACGAGCGACGCGCAGAAGGCAGCCACTCCCAGGGGGGAGAGGGTGCGCCGGCCGAGGCCTCTCCTCCTTCTGCTCCTCCTGCTGCTCCTCCTCCTTTTCCTCCTCCATTTTTCTTCGGCAGGCCACTGGGCGCGCACACCCGAAGCGTCAGACCTCCTCCTCCTCCTTCTCCTCCTCCTCCTCCTCCTCCTCCTCCTCCTCTTGCTGCTGCTCCTCCTCCTCCTCCTCCTCCTCCTCCTCCTCCTCCTCCTCCGCCTCGTCCGCTTCCAATTCCCACTCTTCCCCCTCCTTACAGGCCCACAGGCCGGCCACATCTGAAGAGGTTCTCCCCAGGATCGCTCGGGCGGATGGGAAAGTGCAGCCCGCGCTCTTGCGCAAAACTTCACAGCATCATCATGCATGTGTGGGCACGGGCGGGGGATTCACGACCTAATCCGACAACAAAAATGATGCGGCGATGATGTGGGCACACGGCGACCGAGAATACACCGGCCAAACATTGGTTGCGCCATAGATTGGGCACTTGGTGGCCGAGGATACGGCGACCTGCCACTGATTGCGCCACAAGGTGCGTTTTCGATTGCCGAGAATAGAATAGCCTTCTATTGGTTGCGCCAGACATTGCAAACTCGCTGGCCGAAGATTATAAAAAAAACTGCTATTGGCTGCGCCATAAAAATGCGCACTTGGGGGCCGAGAAGAAGCCGGCCACATATGGGTTGCGTCATGTATACATATATACACATATCTTGCTCATTCGGTGGCCGAGAACGAAAGGGCATGCTATTGGCCGTGACATAGGTTGCACTCTCGGCGGCAGAAAATCAAACGACCTGCCATTTGTTGCGTCAGAAATCGCGCTCTCGACGGCCAAGGCAGCAACAAACACCCGCGTTATTGGCTGCGACACAGGTTGCGCACTCAGCAGCCGAGAATAAAACGCTCTGCGATGAATTGATGAGTTGCGCAATACAATCAACCCGTATCAGAAGAATGCGCGGTAAGGATACAAGGGCCTTGGAGGGCCAAGCTGATGTTTCTGTTCAAACGAGGCTGGCCAGTGAAAGTCGCCAATGATGGGCTGAGTAGTCAAGGATTCAGGATGCAAAAAGTACCCTTGGGAAGGTTGCCCATCCTTACTATGCGGGTGGACTTTACATTGCGCAGCCGACGGCCCGAAAAAAAACGGCCTGGTACATTGGGGATCTCAAAATCGTGTGGTGACAAACCGCGCGGTGACCTCAGAATCCAAAGAAGCCTCCCTCCGCTCGGTCCGGTCGTTTTGCTGACGATCCCGAAGCCCGTGGAGGGCCCCCAAAGGCCAGCAGAAGCGGAAAACCTCAGGACCCGTTTCCCTCAGAACCCATTCGGTCATGTGCCAGATAACCCTTAGATTCTGACATCCGAGCACTGTCCTCACTCGTCCTAGCTCAGGGGGTTCCAACTCCAGGAAGAGATTGACGGACGTTCCCGTCACGAAGTCATGCGGCAACTATATAGTGCTGTTAGATGAATGCAAACATGAAAAACGATACGCGCGCTCTAAAAGAGAGAGAGAGAGAGACAGAGAGACAGAGAGAGGCGCGCGCACACTTTTACCGCTACGCTTTGCGCCACGGTAAGCGCTGGCATGGTACGACTTGAGCCGATAGCCCGGAAACGCGCGTAGGCTCGTTCAGAAAGAGGCAGGGGGAGCGACAGCAACGACTCCCCGGGCGAATTGCTCCTGAGCCACCAAAGCCTTTGCGTGTCAGCCTGCAGCACACCTCAACAGGGCGCGCCAACCCCAAACAGCTTTCACGGCGCAGCCCGTCCGGTCCGAGTGGCATCTGATCATGCTGCAGAGGTCAGGGCTCGGCTGCTCGACGAGGCCTGAGCGGACTCGACAGGCCCGCGGGGCTCCCGGCGCTGTACGCTCAACCGGTGCTGTCCTTGCCGCGGCCTCCCTTCGACCTCGTTCCCTTGGAACCCCTGCCAGCCGCCGTCCCGGCGCCAGCTATTCTACGGGTCACTCTCCGCAGTCCACGCTCCGGTCGCATCGCGGCCTTTTTTATCGCGGTCTTGCCGCGGGCGGCCATTGGCCCAGTGACCAGACAGATCGTTGCCCAACCAGGACGTTGACCTTTGCCAGGGCGTCGAAGAGGAGCCGCCTCCTCCTTCGTTTCTCCGGGGCCCCCAAGAAGCCCCCAAGAGAGGCCCCGAGAGGTCCCCAGTGGGCCCCCAGGAAGCCCTAAGAAACCCCAAGAGGCCCCCAAGACGCCCTCCAGGGGCCCTCCAGAGGCTCCAAAGACCCGAGAGCCCTCAGAGAAACACCAAGAAGCTTGCCTGACGACTCTGACCCACAACCCAGGCACCGTGGCGGGATGGGCCGAAGGCCAATAGACCCGCCGCCGCCTGTGGTCTTGCCACAGGGGTGCCCGGCGTGCTAGACCCTGCTAGTTTTGTGTTGGGTTCCTTTTGCAAAACGAACTCTTCGCCGGTCTCGCCTGGAAGACCGCGCCGCTGCGCAACCCACGTCTCCAAAAACGGCCGTTTCGCTCGACACATCCTCAATCAATCGCGATCTTGGGGATTCTAGCCCAAGATGCCTTATGATAAGAATGATCGTTTCGCCCAAGACAGCCTCAAGATGACGGCAGACGGCCCACCAGACCCCCAAGAGGCCTCCAAGACGGCCCAAGAGGCCTCCAAGAGGTCCTCCAGGAAGGCCCGAAGAGACCAAAATCATGGACTTCCCGTACATTTGCTTCGTTTCGGCTTTCCGACGGCCCGACACTGCCCAAGAGCCCCCCAAGATCGCCCAAGAGGCCTCAAAAATGGCCCCAGAACGGCCCACGAGGCCTCCAAGACGGCCCCAAGAGGGCCCCAAGACGGCCAAAGAGGACTCCAAGACGCCCAAGATGGCCTCCAAGACGGCCCAAGAGCACCCCAAGAGAGCCCCAAGACGGCTTCCGACGGCGTCAGACGGACCAGGAATGCCCTAAGACGGCAAAAGCGGCCCCCGAGAAGCCCCCAAAGGCCCCCAAGAGGCCCAAGGAGGCCCCCAAGATGCCTCCAAGAGGCTCCCAGGAAGCTCCCAGGAGGCTCCAAGAGTGCCCACTCCTCCCCCTCCTCCTCCCCCTCCTCCTCCTCCTCCTCCTCCTCCTCCTCCTCCTCCTCCTCCTCCTCCTCCTCCTCCTGATATTCCCCGCCATCCTCCCCCAAGTGTTCCCCGAAAGGTTTCCACAACGGTTGGGGGAACACATAGTCCGATAGCTTGGCAGAGCTCTTGCCACAACGCTCGGTCACATGGGCGATTCCAAAAGGCAGGGGGCGGCGGTGACTCGCCGTGGGCGCCTTCGCTAGCACTGTTGACTGGAAAATGTAAACATGTATAACGGCACGCGCGCTCTAGGAGAGAGGCGCGCGCACCCTTCTACACTCCTTTTGCGGCTAACCATGCTTCGCGCCACGGTGAGCCAAACGCGCGGAAGCGCGCGCGCAGGCACGCTCCAAAGAGAGGAACGGGGGAGCGACAATAACGACGAATCCCCTTAATTGGCTTTCGCGTCAAAGCTCGGGTCTCGGTGGCCGCTCGAGGCGCTCCCGGCACCCCGGGCACGCCCTCGGCGAGGCGCAGCTGCTGGAGCGCACCTCGAGGAACCGACGAGGACCAACGAATAACCCGAGAACCTCGAGCACCGAACACGCGCGGGAGGCCGAAGATGGCGAACAGAACCTCTGGATGCGGCCGTTTCCCTCAGGACCCGCTTGCTCCGTGGCGGCCGCCCCTTCCCTCCCGCGGGCCGCGGCCCCGGACCCGGGCCCGGAGGAAGAGCTGCTGCCCGAGCCCGTGGGCTGCCTCCCCGCCTCGAGCGGGAGGGCGCACGCGAGGCTGAGCAGCGCCCCGGACACTGGCCGCCTGGCGCGCGCTCCCACCACCGGGGGCGGCCTGAGCTGGCGCCAGGGAGGAGGAGGAGGAGGAGGAGGAGGAGGCGGAGGCGGAGGAGGAGGAGGAGGAGGAGGGGGAGGGGGAAGGCCAGGTCCTCCGGGACACATTCTTGAGGGTGGCGGCCAGGTCCTCCAGGCTGCCCTCGAGCACGGGCGGGCGCCGGCCACCAACCGCAAAACGCCGGCCCCGGTCGACGCTGGGCCTGTCCTGGGCTCTGGCCCTCTGGGCGCACGGGGAGTCCTCTTCCTCGTCGTCAACCTCCTCCTCGTGCGCGCCCTCCTCTTTTCTCTCCCCTCTCGTCCCTTCTCAGCAATCCCTCCTGACTCCTGACCTCTCACCATCCCTCCGCCTCCTCCTCTTTTCCTTATCCTCCTCCGCCGCATTATCCTCCTCCTCCTCCTCCTCCGCCTACTCCTCCTCGTCCTCATCCTCATCCTCTTCTTCTTCAGCATCATCATATTCGTCGTCGTCGACGAAATCAGATTCACCATCACCAGGACCACAACCATCAACAGCAGCATCAACATTACTATCATCGTCTTTACCCTCCTCATATGGTTCATCATGTTCGTCATCATCATCACCATCGTCATCACCATCATCATCATCATCATCATCACCATCATCATCATCACCACCATCGTCATCACCATCACCATCACCATCACCATCACCATCACCATCACCATCACCATCACATCATCATCATCATCATCATCATCATCATCATCATCATCACCACCATCACCATCATCACCATCATCACCATCCTCATCATCAGCAGCATCACCATCACCACCATCATCACCATCACCATCATCCGCATCAGCTGCATCACCCTCATCAGCAGCAGCCACCTGCAACAATCTCCCCCCCCCCCTCCCTCTGCGCCACCCTCGGGCCCGGGACCGGCCCGGCGCCTGGGGCCGGCGCGCTGCGGGTGGGCAGTGCCTGCGCCCTCCGCGGGGCCTCGACGCGGCTCAGCCTCTCCCGCGCGGCGGCCAGCTCGGGGTCGGCGCACGGCGCCGCTGCCTCGGGCGGGTCCTGCGCGCGGCCGCAGGGCTTCGGGCACCGGGGAGCAACCCGCCTCTCGGGCCGGGCGAAAGGGGGGATAGCAAAGGAGGCAGTTTGAGAAGCAACTCGCGTGGCTGATTTTCCCGGCGCCTCCCGGCGCCGGAGGCGGCTATGTATCGAGGGATGGGCCCGGCGGCGGGGCAGAAACCAGCTGCATGCAGCAAATGTCGTAACCCCCCCTTTCCCAATCCCCCCCTTTCGTCTGGCCCGCGCCCCCCCCCCCCGCTGCGACAAACATCACGACGAAAGGGCTTGCAATTTTCGACCTCCAGGGGCGGATTCCAGGGCCCCGGGAGCGGCATAAAACGACTTCGGACGAAAGGCCGGTCCTGAGGAAGGGGTCGAGAGCTCCGGGAGGTCGACATTAACGAATAAGAATCACGAGTCCGACGCCGGAGTCCGGGGCACCCCTCAGATTGACAAACCCAAGGCGATGACAATCTGCGGGATGCGCACCATAAACTGGGGGAGCATTCAAAAGCGACACTATGATGAAGCGATGCCGATCTTGAGGGTATGTTTGGACATGTTGCAGGCTGGCGACGAAACATCGGCACCGGAGCAGGGAAACGGGTCGAATCGGAACGAGCGCCGGATTGGGCTGCAACGGCACGGAACGGAACTCGAACCGGGCCGGCCGCGCCGAGATCCACACCCGCGCCGCGCAAGCACAAGGCCGCGTCGGATCGCCAGAATATCGGGATCGACTCGGTATGAAATCGGAGTGATCGGATCCTGGCGAGCGGGAAAGAGAAGGTCCTCTGGAGACCAGAATCCGCTCGAAGTCCGGATCGCCCCCCACGCCCCGCCCCACGCTCTCGCGACGGGCGCGAGCATTCCGAGCAGGTGGACACGCGGCGAGCGGCCGCGGAAGCGGAGAGCCCCCACCGAACACGTAGCATCATCGACCGGCGAGCACACCCAAGGCCTTGAAGAAAAGAAACACCGCACCGTCACAGCACCCCCGCGACTTGCTCGAGGTCTTTCTGCGAGCGTCCGAACATGGGTGGCCGGCCAAAAAAACACCACACCACTGGCTGCACCAGGCTTCATGGACCGACCCCCGACGTGGTATTTTTCACAGCATGGCGACCTTACGCGGTGCCTTGCGCGGGCCGCCAGCAAGGCGCGCGAATGTCGGCACAGTCGCCCACATTATTCGCCGCCCCTCAGACGAGATCTTCCCCCGGGGCCAGTTTTTTATCCTCAATCGTTGTTCATGTGTCCTGAAGCCCAATAAGGGCGGCCATCAGCAACACATAGCGAAAGGTCACCTGTCGTGCTTTCACGATTCAAGGGGGTCTGAGTAGGCCGACGCGCTCTCGTCCAATACTGCATGCAGGCTAACGCCCACAATCCACGCGCGAAGACCCTGGCCGGACGAAACCCTGGGACCTCACGCCTGCGGAGCCAACAGGTGTTGTCAAGAGTGGACTGGGTCAAAGAGCCGATCCCGCCCTGTGTCATACAGGGTGGTAATAATGATAAACGTAGCACCCCGCAGCCGCGGATAGGAGTGAGGGGGCGGCGGGGGACGCCTGCAGTCTGTGAGGCTCTGAAGAAGCCCGCCGCAGGCACCATTTAAAAAAAAAAACGAAAGAATATGCAACGAGCCCACCGCAGGTGCCGATTTTTTCGCTAATCCGATGTGGGTGGGTCGCAGGTGGGTCGCGGGTGGGTGTGTCGCGGGCGGGTCGCGGATGGGTCGCGGACCAGGTCCCGGGTGAGTCACGGGTGGGTCGCGGGTGGGTCGCGGGCGGGTCGCGGGATGGGTCGCGGGCGGGTCGCGGGGGGCTCGCGGGGTGGGCCGCGGGTGGGTCGTGGGTAGGTCGCGAGCGGATCGCGGGGTGGTGGCGGGTGGGTCGCGGGCCGGGTCGCGGGGGGGACGACTCCAAACAACAACAAACAGCAAACACAGCAGCAACAACAACAACAACAACAACAACAACAACGACGACGACAACAACAACAACAACAACAACAACAATCGCAATCATTTTACCCGAACGCGTGGTGTTCTCCCCAGTGCCAGGGTTTTCATACGACACCAGACAATACCCCCACTTCGTGGGGGGGCATTACAAGCTCTACCAAATATCCAAACGACTCTTCGCGACCACCCAAACCCAGCTTCCCGCCCTATGACGTTGGGACACTTCACTTCGTGGCGTGCGGACGACCGTGGCTACTACACTGGCGTGGGGTACACACCCACAGAACTTGGGGTGATTTTATGATGCGCGGTGTAAAATTCTTAAGAACCCAATGGTTTTTGGAGATTTCGGCGTGCGCGCGCGAAGAAAAAACGAATCTGTCCCGCATGGTATTATTTGACAGGGATGATGGCCCTGGCAGGTGCGCAACCGTTGTCGCAGAAGTTCGAAAAAGTTGCTCGCAAAAGCCCGTTTGACAGAAATGTTTAAAAAGTGTTGGGTTTCCTACGAATCCGCAAGAGCGCGCGGGATGAGATTTTGACATTTTTTTGTTGAAAAACCATTGGTTTTTTGATGTTTTTATGTTGAAATCGCTCCGAACACTAAGCTTTTGGAAGGATTTCGTCTTGCGCGCGCGAATGTCCACTTTACCTTATTTTTTGCAAGGGATTCTTGAAATTTGATTATATTAGAACAAGAAATGTCATTTTATAGTGTTTTTTGCAAGGGAAAGCGGGGGGAACAAAACAACCGGATCTTGATCACATCGAATTACCTGAGGCTTCCTCACGAAAATGATGAAAATGTAGCTGCGGCCTAGGCGGCGCAGGGGGGCCGTGCACCAGGGGCCCAACAATAATTATTCTTTAGAATTAATAATGTTCAACAACAACAACAACAACAACAACAACAACAATTACTAGCACGTGGGGACACTCCGTTCTCACCAGTGCCAGGGTTTTCATAGGAGGCGGGCAATACCCCCACTTTGTGGGGGGGCCGGTTCAAGCTCTACCAAATTTCCAAACGACTCTTCGCCACCACCCACACCCAGCTTCCCGCCCTATGACGTTCGGACACTTCACTTCGTGGCATGCGGACGACCGTGGCTACTATTCAGGGCCCCGCGGCCGACGACGACGGCGTGCGCGCGCGAAGAAAAAACGAATGTGTCCAATATGATATTATTTGACAGGGATGATGGCCCTGGCATGCGCGCAACCGTTGTTGCAGAAGTTCGAAGCACGTGAAAAAGTTGCTCGCAAGAGCCCGTTTGACAGAAATGTTGAAAAATATTGGGTTTCCTCAGAAATCCGCAAGAGCGCGCAAGATGAATTTTTGATTTTTTTTTTTTGAAAAACCATTGGGTTTTTCATGTTTTTATGTTAAAATCGCTACGAAAACTAAGGTTTTGGAAGGATTTCATCTTGCGCGCGCGAGTGTGCACTTCGTATCATCTTTTGCAAAGGATTCTTGAAGTTTGGTAATGTTAGAACAAGAAATTTCATTTTATAGTGTTTTTTTGCAAGGGAAAGCGGGCGTCAACAAAACAACCGGATCCGGACACCCACGTTTTGCCTGAGACTTCCTCACGAAAATGATGAAAATGTGGCTGCGGCCTAGGCGCGGCGAGGGGGCCGCGCACCAGGGGTCCCAACAATAATTATTCTTTAGAATAAATAATGTTCAACAACAACAACAACAACAACAACAACAACAACAACAACAACAACAACAACAACAATCATTATGAGACTGCTCGCTCTTATCTGCTCGAGTGTCATTCAACGTGTATCTCCCGAACCCTCGATACCCGCCCTCTTCGTCTTCGATCGCGCCCCTTTTGGGGGGTATATCATTATTCCCTGCAGACCGGGCCCCGGCAAGCGGCGGAGCGGCTGCGGACCATTGGCCTGGCCAGCGGCAGCGCTGATCAGCGGCAGCCCGACTCCAAGAGGGACGAATAGGGGACCGACCACGACGACGACGACGACGACGACGACGACGACGACGACGACGAAGGCGGTGACGGCGACGAAGAGCGAAAGAGAGAGCGAGAGCGAGAGCAACAGCGACAGCGGGGCCACGAAAGGCAGAAAAGGGGGCCACGAAGGGCGACAGCGGGGCCACGAAGGGCATGCGTATGGGGCCACGAAGGGCGCGAACGAACGGGGGCCACGAAGGGCAGAGAACGCGGGGCCACAGAGGGCAAGGACGGGGCCACTGAGGGTAGCAACGGGGCCACGTAGGGCAACGAGGGGGCCACAAAGGGCGGCAGCGGGGCCACGAAGGGCATGCATATGGGGCCACGAAGGGCGCGAACGAACGGGGGCCACGAAGGGCAGATAATGCGGGGCCACTGAGGGCAAGGACGGGGCCACTGAGGGCAGCAACGGGGCCACGAAAGGCAGCGAAGGGGCCACAAAGAGCGACAACGGGGCCACGAAGGGCATGCGTATGGGGCCACGAAGGGCGCGAAAGAGCGGGAGCCACGAAAGGCATACGTATATTGGACCGCAGAAGGCAAGGACGGGGCCACTGAGGGCAACAACGGGGCCACGAAGGGCAGCGAGGGGGCCACGAAGGGCGAAAGTGGGGCCACGAAGTGCATACGTATGGGGCCACGACGGGCGCGAACGAAGGGGACCACGAAGGGCATACAAATATGGGGCCACGTAAGGCACCGAGGGGGCCACGAAGGGAAGCAACGGGGCCACGACGGGCAGCGAGGGGGCCACGAAGGGCTGCGGGGCCACGACGAGCAACGAGGGGGGCCACGAAGGGCTGCAACGGGGCCACGAAGGGCAGCGAGGGGGCCACGAAGGGCTGCAACAACGAGAGGGCCACGAAGGACTGCAACGGGGCCACGAAGGGCAGTGAGGGGGCCACGAAGGGAAGCAACGGGGCCACGAAGGGCTGCGAGAGGGCCACGAAGGGCTGCAACGGGGCAACGAAAAGCAACGAGGGGGGCCACGAAGGGCTGCAACGGGGCCACGAAGGGCAGCGAGGGGGCCACGAAGGGCTGCAACAGCGAGAGGGCCACGAAGGACTGCAACGGGGCCACGAAGAGCAGTGAGGGGGCCACGAAGAGCAGTGAGGGGGCCACGAAGGGCTGCAACGGGGCCACGAAGGGCAGCGAGATCCCGATTCCTACGTAAGCTGTGCAAGCTTCATCAGGCGCAGCAGCTTCGCCCAGCCTCCAATCCAGCCTTTCAGGCCAGACTTCGTTTACCTCTTGCGCGCATTCACACGTTCTCCTCTCCGTCCCTCCGTCGCCAGTGTCGCATGCCTTTACATGCAACCACACACTAGGGTACCAGCACCTAAATCGCACCAGAAGCACACAGTTCTGCCTATACAAGGGCAGCACCCCCAGAACTGCATTCTTTTAACCTTTGTCTGGGACAGCAGCCCAGACATCGACAGTCCTGCCTAAACTAGGGCAGCAGCCGCAGGACAGTATTACAGCATGCTGCGTACCATCTGCCCTACGTCATGCCTCCACCGCTTGCCTCTTTACCCACGCATCCCCTCCCTCGCTACTTCTGACACTTTCAGCTTCAAAGACAGCCTCAGCATCGGCAGCACACTCTTTGTCTACACGAGGGTAGCAGCCCCAGAAATGCATCTATGTACTTTTTTGTTCTGGGGCTGGGGCAGTAGCCCAGACATCTACCACCGCATCACTTAGTCTTGTGGTGGATGTAAGTACACCCATTCGTTCTGCACCTGTGCTTCGTACCTTTGAGGATGTGGAGGAGGACTACACTCACTCTGTACTTGCGGGCCCCTTGCACCTAGGGCAGGATGAGACCCACAGTCGCGCACATGCCAGCCTACGACAGGCAAGCCTCTACCTCGCATCCGCTCCTGGATTCGTACCTCTGGCAGCCCATGCCACGTTTTTCCTGCAGTACCTCAGACGTACAAGATGCATCACATTACCTTGCACTCATACTCTGACGTGGCAGCCTGTACCAATACAGATTCGGATAGGCGAACGGGGAGGCAACTGACAGACGGGGGTGGGGTGAACCGGGGGGTGTTACTGAGGTACTCAGGCTGACCGCGAGCTACACATAACGAGTGCCTACTTCTTGCTGCTCCTCTTAGCCGATTCTCTGTCAATTACTGTCGCCGCGGCGCCCGCCAGGTACCTTTCGCCGAGCCGGAAATACATTAGTTGCACTGTCGCCCTGCAAAACGCCACAAGCCCGTGCTTCAGGTCTGAGCAACGCAAAGGGGAGGCGGAGGAGGAGGAAAAGGAGGAGGAGGAGGAGGAGGGGCAGGAGGAGGAGGAGGAGGGGCAGGAGGGGCAGGAGGAGAAGGAGGAGGAGGAGGGGCAGGAGGAGGAGGAGGAGGAGGGGCAGCAGGAGGAGGAGGGGCAGGAGGAGGAGGAGGGGCAGCAGGAGGAGGAGGGCCGCCCTGCGCGACGGCTGGCCAGGGGCTTGCCGAGAGCACGCGGAGGGCCGCAGCGGCCTCCGAGCAGCGGGCAAGCTCGCTCGCCGAGGGGCCGCCCTGCGGGGCGGGCGCACCCGCGGCCGCGCCGAGCTCGTCGACTTGCCGCGCCAGGGCCCGGTGCTCCTCGGGGGGGCGGGCCTTTCCAGCGACTCCCTCTCTCTTGACTCCCACTACTCCGCGATCGAAGGGGCCACCAGCTCGCAGGGACTGGCCCCCCTGCCCCGACCCCCCTCAAGGGGGCGAATGGCCAGCCCCCAGCGCCCGGGCTGCCTGCCGCTAGCCCCCAAGCCCTGATGTTGGTGGTGTCTGTTGGCTTCACGATCGAAAGCAACGCAGCTATCCCCCCCCAGCGACGGTCGCCAATGGGGGGGGGCGGGGCATCATATCGAACTGGGATGTCTGTAAGAAGGGAGCAGCGAGAAAAGCCCTCCAGTGAGTACTCTCCCCTCTTCCTCCTCCTCCTCCTCCTCCTCCTCCTCCTCCTCCTCCTCCTCCTCCGCTTTTTCATATCTTTATTATTCGCCATAACCCTACAATAATTACGGTTTATGGTTTATGGCATTACTACTATGGTTGATGTTCTTCGTCTTCTTCTTCGTCTCAGTATGTTGTCTACTAGTATTTGTCTTAGTTGTCTGACTATTATTATTATTCTTCCTCCTCCCCAAATCTCGACAAAAGGAGGAGAGCACGGGCTTCGATCAGCAGCAGCAGCAGTCACCATCACCAATCAGTGTCCACTCTGCCGTACTACGTTCGTGGATCGGGCCCAGGCTGAAGATCATTTGTTGCGTTCGCTCAAGCACAAGCGCTGCATTGCCGACAACACCAGGCTTCACTACCCGTTGATACCGATCGAGAACCCAGCTTGCCCCCTGTGCCCCAACATGCAGCCGTTTGCACATCTCTCAAGCTTCCAGGACCACGTCTGCGCGGCACACTTGCCAACTGAAGAGCATCACATCTCACTGGACATTGGATTGTTCCAGGATGACGTGGTGTCTGCCTACGGAAAAGGACATCGAGGACGTGGTGAGCAGCATGGCGGACACGGAACGCTCGAACAAGCACCAGAAGACTACGCACCCCAAGGGCAAGGGCGGCCACCACAAGAAAGGCGACAAGGCCGAGGCAGCAAAGGACGCGGACGGGGACGCCACCATGCAGGACAAGGACGCGGACGACACCAAGGGCGAGGGCAGCCCAGCAGCCGCGGCAGCAGCAGGACACAAAGTGCGCCGACAGCAACGCGGAGGAGAAGCCTACCAAACCAAGTGCGACCCGAAGCTGAAGAAGCTGCTCACCGTGCTGATCAAGCAAGTGCTGGCCAACACACAGCAGATCGCGTGGGTCGTTTCCGCGGTGTACAGCACGTACCTGATGTCCACGCAGACCAAGGTGATCAAAGCACTACGAGCATGCAGGAAGATCTACGCGGAGAAGTGCAGGGAAGCTGGCAAAGGACATGCGTTCGGACCACCAGAGGGCCACCTGTACGTCACGCTTATTTCGACCCTCTGCACCGAGGACGTGGGCGCCAAGACGAGGACCATTCTCGCCGAGCACGGGAAGTTCGTGGATCAGATCAACGTGGCCACCGTGCTCAGCAAAGTCAAGCACCTGAAGCTCAGCAAATGCTACGACAGCAACATGGCGGAGCTCACCATCTACATCGAGCACGACCGTGGACCGATGCCGAAGCGGAGGAGGAAGCCAGCGAGGAGCAGATGAAGCAGGCCAACATCAATGACAGCATCCACAGTGAAGACGGGAAAGCCACCAGCGGGAGTCATGGAAGATGAGTTGGCCGCGTGGTCGGCAGGGCTATGAGAACGTGGATGGCCGATCGACTACGCCTCGTTCGGCAAGTGATCGGCGCGCGTGGTGCCGTGATCACGATGAAGGTGCCGCTCTGAGCTGCGACGGCGGGGGCCCATTCATGCGGCTGAACGCACTGCTCCGCCCCCCAAGGCCGCTCTATCTATCTATATATCTATCTATCTACCTCCCCAGATCTCCGACGATGTGATTCGCTGAACCTTCGGTTGTCCCTCGATGTCCGCCCTCGGTTGCCGCTTTCGGGACCCAGAAGCATCAACAACGAATCTGGGACGAAAAAACAAACCCGGGAAAGTGCCCCGGATTTACACACTCATATCTTCGGATGTCTGGGTCGTCCTCGTCCCTTCTCCTAATACTCCTCCTCCCCCTCCACCTTCTCCTCCTACTCTCCATCCCACTCCTCCTCCTCCACCTTCTCCTCCCCCTCGCCCTCACCCTCCGCCACCCCTCCCCCTCCTCCCCCTCCTCCCCCTTGCCCTCCCCCTCCTCCCCCTCCTCCCCCTTGCCCTCCCCCTCCCCTCGAGCAGGTTATCTATCACATTCCGTCCCTTAACGAAGCCCCTTTGGATCCCCAGGGTGGTGTCCATGCAGAGCATCTTCAGAAAGCAATTAAATGCGATAGCGACGATCTTATTCAGGGAGCTCGACAATGCAATCCATCACGTGCTCGTACATCCGAAACGCAGCCCAACGGACAAACCAGCTCCCCTTGGTCCAGGCAGAGTAGCAGAGCCCATCAGGGCCCGCCGCAGAGTCCCGATGTTGGTCCAGGACCTGGTAAAAACTCGCCTCCATCATTTTCCAATCCCGCCGATCAGGAGCACGCTGAATATGACTCGATAGCTGGTCACGAGCGGCAGGCTGAGAAGAGACGGCGGCATGGGCGGCGCCCCAGTGGGCAGCAAGTGCACAAGCTCCAGCACCCGCAGACTGTATTACATTGCCTTCGGCATCCGTGACGGCGGCGAAAAATACTCTGCGGTTCTTAGAGGAGGAAACCAGGGAACCAGGCCTCGGACGAGCATTCGAGTCGATGGCTCGTACGAGTTGAAGAAGATTAGGAGGAGAGCTGCACGACCACGGTTCTTAGAGGCGGCGGAGGAGGAGGAGCAGGAGGAGGAGGAGAAGGTTGTTTCGTGGCGAGGGGCGCCGCTCGCTCCGCACAGCGCGGGCGGTCCTCCTCGGTAACGAGCCTGGCGCCCTCGCCGCCAGCGGGCAGGCACGCCCTCACGGTGGCCTCCACGGCCTCGGGGGGCCCGCGGCGCCGGCACTCCCACCTCGTCGTCCCCTCTCTGCTCTGCCCCCCCCCTTGTTCCTCCTCCCCCTCCTCTTCATCGCCCTCCCCCACAAACTCCCCCTCCTCTTCCTCTCCCTCCCCCACAGCTCACAAATAGGAGCGCTCTTCTCCGGTCTCCCCCTCGTCTGCCCCCTCACCCGGGGTATTTCTTCACACGCAGGACTTTCAAGTAGTGCTGCCGCTGCAGCACGGGTCTCAATTTAGGGTCGGCGCTTTGCTCCCGTCGCTCATAATGATGGCACCTCGCCTCAGCGCGGGCCATTTTCCTGGATCCGAATCATTCCCCATCGTTGTCGCCACCCTCCCTTCTCCTCCTCCGCCTTCCCCTTGTCCTCCTGCTCCTCCTGCTCCCTCCAATACAGTTCATGCTGCTGCTGTTCGTCCTCGTCCTCCTCCATACTCCTCCTTACTCCTCCTCCTCCTACAGCGGGGGCTGCTGGCCCCTCGTCTTGTCCCCCGGATCCTGGGTCTGCCCTTGAATCCCACCAGCCTTCTGGACGCAGGTGTTCTGAAGAGCTTTCTCTTCCAACCCCCGTCTTCCCCTTCGGGGAGGGACTGACCCTCCCCCTACCCCCTTCCGTTGGACTGGGGGGGGTTCTCGGGTTGGAGTATCCAAGATGGCCCAAGATGGCGCTAGGAGGGCCTCAGAGAGACCAAGATGACCTCCAAGATGGCATGGGATAGCCCGAGATGGCTTCAAATTGCTCCCAAGACGCTCCGAGAGGCCCCAAGACCGCTCCAAGACGGCTCCGAGTGGCCACGGAGCCTCCCCAGGAGGCCGCCAAGAGGCCAGAATCCTTCAAATACCTATGCGAAATCCATGAGTTGTGCCTCCTCACTTTTTTTGTTTCCGATGGCCTTCCGAGACCTCAAGATGGTTCCAAGAGGACCCACGAGCGCCCCCAAAGAGGCCCAAGAAAGCCAAAACGGCCCCAAGAACGCCCAAGAGCGGCCCAAGAAGGCCCAAGAAGCGATTATTTGGGCCGGGGGGCCGTAGTTGGAGCTCCCACCTTGCTTGATCGATCTCCTCCAAGACGGCCCCAAGAGCGCTCCCACGGCTCCCACGAGCGTCTCAAGAGGCGCCCACGAGGCTCCTAAGAGGCCTCCAAAAGACCCCCAAAAGACCCCCTTAAGAGGCCCCACGAGGCTCCCAGGGGCACCCCAGACGTTCCAAGAGGCCCCTGGGACCGCCAGGAGGCCCCAAAGACGCCCCAAGAGGCCTCCACTAGGGGACCCTTCCTACGTGCTGCCCTCTTCCATGATCGAAGCAACTCCTCTGGGCATCGGTTCTGGATGGGCTGGCAAGTTTCCTTTTTGTCGCAACCGCAAGCGAAAGCGCAGGCGGCGAGTAACGGAACGGGCGGGCCGCGCGCGAACCGAATTGCCTAACGCACCGGCAAACAGAGCCTAGGCGGCACCTCGGATCACCGGAAGCGGAAGGGGGTGCGGGCTGCAGCTGCCAGGAACCAGGTCCAGGAGCGCGCACATGCAATTCGCCAACCGAAGTCGGGGCGCAGCCAAAATGGGGCGGGAACGAGACCAGGATGAAGCCAGGAACGCCACCACGAAGGATCGCGGAAACCGGCAAGGCTGGGGGAACACACTGACCAGGAACCTGGGTGACCAGGAACCTGGGCATGGAAATGGCGCCACACAGGTCGCACACAACGCTGACAAGTGGCCGCAGAGGGCGAGGACAAGGCGCAGGATCAACCACACGAAACCCCATGCACCCAACCCCTGAAGGGGGCAGCTCGCTTGCAGTACATACCAGGAGGTAATGCTGTCACCGATGGCCAGGAAGGCGTCACTGACCAGGAGCCAGCACGAGTGGCGCCACCGAAGTCGCACACTCGTTCCTGAGGCCACGCGCACTCCCGAACACGGACACTGGTGGGCGTACGCGAAGCGTCTAGAAATAGAGTCCCTTCAAGCGTTCGCCCCGCGAGAGCAGGTCCTGGACCAATTCGGCTTGACTGGTGATGACCTCCCCTGAGTGAAGACTCGGGGGGAGGCGCTGCGTCGTCTAGCGGCCCCATTCGGCGAGGGGCGGACTAAGACGCGTCTGTTTTCGTTTGATCTTGGATCGCCCCGACTTTAGGCCCGTCCCAACAACCTCATCTTCCTCGTATTCCTCCAGTTCATCCGTCACCTCCACGTCCATTGTACACATCTCCCCTTCTTCAGATTGCGCATTGCACGATGAGGTCCTTGTTCGACTTCCAGGTCCGCTATGTCACGCATCGGCGGATAGGGACAAATCGCGCCATGGAAAGGGATGGGTGAGAGAGTCAGGACGCCAGATATCGCGCGAACGCACATAGCTTGCACCCCCGTCTTGCTCCTCCCCCTTCCCCTCCCCCCCCGCGCACATCCTGGCCCCTCTTCTCCCCCCATTTCCGTCCTCCCCTCTCCCTCCCTCCTCCTCCTGATCCTCCTCCTCCTCCTCCTCCTCCTCCTCCTGAAGAATGAAAAGCAGCAGGGTGCCTTTGCCCTGGCTGCTCGAAAAGCAAGCGAGGAGCGCTTGCCTGCCAGGCCGCCGCCCGCCGGAGGGAGAGGGGAGGGAAGGGGGGAGGACCCTGATGGGTTCCTCCTCCTCCCTCCTCCTCTCCTCCTCCTCCTCCTCCTCCTCCTCCTCTTCCTCCTCCTCCTCCTCCTTTTCCTCCTCCTCCTCCTCCTCCTCCCTCCTCCCTCCTCCTCCTCTCCTCCTCCTCCTCCTCCTCCCCTCCTCCTCCCTCCGTCCTTCCTCACCCCCCCTCTTCCTCCTCCTCCTCCTCCTCCTCCTCCTCCTCCTCCTCCTCCTCCTCCTCCTCCTCCGCTCCCCCTCCTCCGTCCCCCAATCACTCCTCATCCCCGCCCGACCTTCCTCCTCCACCTCCTCCTCAAACATTTGTTTTAATCACTCCTACCTGTTGAACCACAGACGTGTCGGTAGGGCTGGCCGTGCTTTGCGCCTGGGACACCCTCACCATTTATGAGCCTAACGCTTGAAACTTGCAGCAGTTTTACGAATGGAGGGCGGGCCGTTGCCAACATGTGGCTCTCGCCTTCGCGCCGAGCACATTCGCCTTAACACATTGCAGCAGCGTTACGGATGGAGGGAAGGCCGTTTTCAAAATGCGGTTTTCGTTTTTTTTTTTTTTTTCAACGCCGCGAACATAGGTCTTCAAACTGTTACATCAGCTTCACGAACGGAGGGCGGGTCGTTTTCAAGATGTGGCTCTCGCCTCAACGCCGCGCTCGCGCTCTTTAAAGATGTACGACATCTTCACGATGGCGGGTGGGACTGTTCCTTAATGTGGCTCTCGCAATAGCGCCGCGCTTATTCGTTTGTTGGGTTTGCAACCGTTTCAAAGTTGGAAGGCAGCTCCTTTTTAACATGTGATTCGTTATGAACGCTTGCAACAGCTTCAAGTTTCAAGGATTCGTATACTTGCCTGGGACTGTGGTTCTGGTTCAGTCAAAGGTTGTCAGGACGCAACAAGTATGTTCACTCGCGGTGCTGAAGTCCCAGGAACGAGGTTCTGGCACGATTCAAGATTGTCAAGACGCAGCAATCACGTTGATTGGCGGCGTTGGAGTCCCAGGAATGGCGTTTTGGCCCGATTGTAGGCTCTTAGACGCTTCTATTCCAATCGAGAACCCCCCAATGAAATTGAGTTCTTGTAGGGACATATGAAGCGAAAGCTTGGAGGGAGGGTTCATTGCAACACCGTTGATGTATCTTGTGTCTTGGGTTTACACTGGTGCTCCTCCTCCTTCTCCCTCCCAATTGTTGCCTGCGACCGTCGGGGATCGAGGAGGAAGCTTCTCGACATCTTCCACGGGGTGGTCGGTCGTTTCTTGGTCTCTTCGGGCCTCCGGAAGCCTCCGGGGACCTCCCATGGACCTCTGCCGAGGCGAGCACGAAAACAAGGCCCCCCCCCCTCCCCTCCAATCCACTCCTCGGGGTCCCCAGTCCCAGGGCGCGACTCTGACACGGCGAACGTGCGGGCGGGAACACGTTCACGACGCCGACGGCGCTGGGAGGGGCCAGGGCGGGGAGCACGAGGGTCCGTTGGGCGCATCCAGGCCCCCCGCGGGCCCCGACAGCCGCTTCCCAGGGGCTCTGGCTTTCCCAGGGGCTGGCCTTCCCCAGGGGCTCTGGCTTCCCAGGGGCTTTCCCAGGCTCTGGCTTCCCAGGGGCTCTGGCTTCCCAGGGGCTTTTTCCCAGGGGCTGGCTTTTCCCAGGGGCTCTGGCTTTCCCAGGCCCTCCGCGGGCCCCGACAGCCGTTTCCCAGGGGCCCGGCGAGGGCCCCCCAAGGGGCCGAAAGCGGCGAAACACCGCCGCCGTGCTTCCTCTCCTGCTTGCCGTCGCTCGGACGTCCATTTCCCGTGCATTTGGCGGTTTCGTGCGTGTTTTTGTTTGCTCGATGGTCCAGGATGGTCCTCGATGGCCCCCGCCGACAAAAAAGTGCACACGTCCGAGCGATACCAAGCCTGATGACGTCCGGAAGATGTCCAGCCCCCCTCCGCGTACTGTTTTCTTGCACACAGGATTCCAAGGAGTTGTTGGAAATGTTGCTCCCGCTGAAGCGCTGGCCTGATGTTCGGGCTTCCGCCCGTTCCGAATCGTGCTCCCGCTGCAGCGCTGGCCTCAATGCCGCGCTTCCGCTCGTTCCGAATCGTGCTCCTTCTGCAGCGCTGGCCTCATGCCATGGCATGCAATTCAATGCTATGTGGTGTTCCGCTGTGCGATGCCATGCCCAAAAATATAGAAGTGATTACACATTCGGTGTCGACTGGTTGACATTTGGAGCCGCAGAAGCCCCCCCCCACTTTGGGGGCTCGCCGTTGTCAGGAAATATCAACCGGGAGCCCCGTTTCTGCTTTGAGAAGCCGATGTTGAAAGCAGAGCCACCGGGTGCTCTCCATCAGGCCTGCCTTGTGTGGAGTTTCTCGGGGAGCCCAAGGAGCTAGACATTGGAGCCACGACTCCAGACTGGCCCAGACCTCTCGAAGACGATCCACTTGGGGCATGTTCGCGTCGTGTCGACTTCGGCGTTGGTTTCTGATACCGTGGGGATCGTTCAACCTTGAACGATCGGACGTTCCGTGAACGCTGGATCGTTCAACGACGGGCCGATTCTGGGCCAAGGGCGGCGTTCAACGATGAACGCCGGCGCCGGGGTCGCCGCCGGTCGACACGACGCGAACCTGCCGCACCCTCCAAGGAACCCGGAGCCATGAGATGGCATGCTGTGCGGTGTTGTGTTATGTTATGTGCCGCTGTGCGATGCCATTCTTTGCGTTGCAAATGCTTTGTGATGCAAGGTAAGGGATGGGAGGGAGGGCAGGACGTCAGATATGACGCGAGCGCACCTAGCTTGCCTTACCCTCTTACTTACTTCTCCCTTCCCTCTCCCTTATCTCCCTCTTCTCTCTCTTCCCCCTCTTCTCCCCTTACCTCCCCCTCCCTTACCTCCCCCTCTTCACCTCGTCGTCCACCCTCTCCTCCCCCTCACCCCTTCGCTTCACTTCGCTGGCATGGAAAGCAGCGCTTCAATGCACCGCGCCCCAAAACTACATCGCGGCGCCGGCCGCCGACGCACCTGATAGCTTTGAGGTGGATGGAGAACCCCCAAGACACGACTTCCAGAGCGGGAAGCCCCAGCTGGACAGACTGAGAAAGGTCCATGGGAAGCCTGCGTGCCAGAGGAGGGACGACGACGACGACGACGACGACGACGACGACGACGACGACAACGACGAAGACGACGACGACGACGAAGACGACGAAGACGACGACGACGACGACGACGACGACGACGACGACGACCGCGACGACGACAACAACGACCGTGACGGTCTGGGCCCCGGGCGAGCAGCCTCTGCAGCACCTCGGCCGTCACGGGCCTGCGAGGGGGGGGGAAGCGGAGGCAAGAGGGAGGGGGCGGGGGGCAGAGAGGGGAGGAGGGGGCGGAAGCAGGAGGGAGAAGGAGGGGAAGGGGAGGCGAGGGGGAGGGAGGGGGTGGGGGAGGCTGGTGCGTTGCTGTCCAGGCTGAAGGCTTTTGGCGGTAGACTGAGGCCACGTGCGCCAACGGCCCCACAGTAGGGCAGAGCAACAAGGAGAGCGCAACCGCGAAGCCCCTCGGGAGGAAGCCCCTCCCACCCTGTCCCTTCCCCCTCCCTCCCTCCCGCCCCCACCCCCTCTCCTCTCCCACCCTATCCCCTCCCCTGCCTCCCTCCCGCCCCACCTTCCCCTCCCGCCTCCTCCATCTTGGGGCGGAGCAGGAGGGGGAGGAGGGGGGGGGGGCGAAGGGGGAGGGGGAGGAGGAGGGGGGGAGAAGGGGGAGGAGGGGGAGGAGGAGGAGGAGGGGAAGGAGGGGGAGCAGGAGGGGGAGGAGGAGGGGGAGGAGGAGGAGGAGGGGAAGGGGGGGGGCGAAGGGGGGAAGGGGACCCAGACCCCCTCGAGCCGTGAATGAATCACGCTGGGAAGCGTTCGGCGCCATTCGGCCTCCGGGGCAGGCACCGGGCCCTGGGGCCGCAAGAGACGGCTCAAGAGGAGAAGCCAGCCCCCTGGAACAGCTCGAGACCTCCTGGGGGGGGGCACGCGGCCCCTCCCTTCCTCCTCCTCCTCCTCTCTCCTCCTTCTCTTCTCCTCCTCCTCCTCGTCCTCTCCTCCTCCTTCTTTCCTCCTCCTCTCCTCCCTCTTCCTTCTTCTTCTCTTCTCCTCCTCCTCGTCCTCCTCCGCCGCCTCCTCCGCCTCCGCCCTCCGCCTCCTCCTCCTCCGCCTCCTCCTCCTCTCCTCCTCGTCCTCGTCCTCGTCTCCCTCCCCTCCCCCCCCTCCCCCTCCCCCCCCTCCCCCTCCCTCCTCCCCCTCCTCCTCCTCCTCCTCCTCCTCCTCCTCCTCCTCCGCCTCCTCCGCCTCCTCCTCCTCTTCGCCCTCCATATCCATCTCCCTCCAACTTATGGTGGCAACTCCTGGGAGGTCGACTCGTCAGAACGACGAATGCCTGTTGAGCTCAATGCAGGGGCCACTGGGCCAGACTGGCCCAGAATCAACTCGGGATTACGCCGGCTTTTAAGTAAGCATAATTACGGCCAACATCTTTGGGTTAGCATGTCGCGCCGCCGGTTCTGGCCCACCACGCTTCGGCCCGACACGCGTCCACGTCCCGTTTCCCAGCCTCCCGCCCCGCCCGCCCCGCGGAGCGGAGCAACACGACATTCGCTTGCAGGGCATAGCGTGTCGCAGGGGCCGCGCCGCGACGCGCTAAGATACTAGATAATATATGTAGAGAGAGAGAGAGAGACAACTAGAATCAGAGAGAGAGAGAGATGCAAACAACCAACACATGGATCTCAACATATATGTATATGCATCTGTGTAGAATTCAGAATTTTGAAGAGTAGGAATGGAACAATAGTGTAGAGCGAGGTGTGCGGGCAGATCAAGTAAACAGAGAAACTGCAAACTAAGTATACAACGACATTCTCAACTGAGAGAGAGAGGGACAGAGACAGAAAGAGAGAGAGAGAGAGGGCAGGCGGGAACGTATGCGGAAATCGTGGGCCGGGGCTTCTCTCTGGTGTAATGTATGAGGTACTGTGCATTCGGCGACGGGGAGGGGAGGATTACGTTGGTCAGGAAGAAGCCGAGGGTGATTACGAGGAGTAAAACGCATGCTGGCGGCATACGCAAACAGCCGCGGGCACGATGGAATCTAACATATACTGCTTTACGCCTCACCACACGTGCGTTGTAATCGATGCGCGATTGAATACGACCAGCCAGGGAACATTGCATGGTCGAGCCCAACATATGCCAGCACATCGAAATACACCCCAACCACCCAACTGGGAATTACATCGAAAACACCTCATCCGCAATTTTCCTGAGCACTATGAACCAGCGAGCCGGTATTCCGATATACCGCAATTTCAAGGCATTCCACTCGGATCGCGAACTCAATAGGGCTAATCAGGACGAAAACTCCCCCCAAAACGCAATCCTGCGGCATTCACTCGGCACGGAGATCCGAACATGTGCGCCTAAGTTTCCTGTGCTCCACGCTGTGGACAACATCGCTTCCTCCGTGGCCATGCGCCCCCCCCCCCCCCCACACACACCGCCCAGGAGGCCCGAGCAGGGCCCGCGAGGGCAAGGGGACTCCAACGTGCTGAGCGCCAGTCGATGCAGAGGGGGGGAGGGGGAGGCGGGGGGCAAAAGCGAAAGGCTGTGTTGCGTCGAGGCTGGATTGCCATTGCTTCGAGGCCTTATTGATTCGAGACTGTATTGCGAGAGGGAGGGGGAGGAGGAAAGTGGCAGATGGGGGCGTGGAGAAGGACGGTGGGCGAGGAGTGAGGAAGGAGCCAGACGTCCGACGCTTGGAATGCCTCAACACGGGGTCCCTGGAGATCTGGACCTCTTCCCTGGGGCCGGCTCTTCCTCCCGAGTTGTGTTTTTGTGCACAGTCGCGGGGCCTCGCGAGGGCCCCCAGGTGCCGAGGACGAGGAAACACCTCCCCCATGATCTGTTCCAAGCGTTGAAGGTCCGGGGAGGACGCAGGAGGAGGAAAAAGAGGATGGAGGAGGCGGAACCCCGACTGGCCGCCAGAGGCTTCGACGAGACCCCGGGCGGCCCCTCCATCGAAGCGCGGCGCTGCTGCTGCCGCTGCTGCGCGTCCAGGCGCTCGACGCGCAGAAGGAGCTCGGCGTGCTGCTCCTCGCGGGGGCGTCGCGGCCGCCGCGGCCGCCAACGCCCCGTCGCCGCCGCTCCGTCGCCGTCTGCGTCGTCGCTGTCGTCGCCGTCGTCGTCGCCGCCGTCGCCGTCCGCGTCGCCGTCGTCGCCGCCGCCGCCGCCCGCATCGTCGACGTCGTCGCCGCCGTCGCCGGCCGCGTCCGCCGCCGCCGCCGTCACCGTCCGCGTTGTCGCCGTCGCCGACGACGCCGCCGCCAGTTACCGTCGCCGTCGCCGGAGAAGGAGGAGGAAGAGGAAGAGGAGGAAGGGAAGAAGGGGGACAGAGGCTCCCTCCTTCTCGCCCGTCCACGCGAGATCCTGCGGCTCTTGAAGAAAACAAAGACCCACTCTAGAGCTTTCGATCTCTTGGGGTGCAACTGCGAATTCAGGCGGTCTTAGCCGGCGGACGCGCCGCCGCTACACTTCCACTGGCTTCCGCCGACCTTCCGCCGCCTTCCGCGGAAGAGAGGGCAACTCCTTCGGTCCACGAAGGCAAAGACCTTCACTGACATCTCTTGTTGCGAAAACGCGAAACATCGAGAGAAATCACGACCGGAGCCCTAGACCCCATCTTTCTGCGACATTTCTCAGCGGAATCGTTCTGTGATAGTCCAGGGGCCCAGAACCGGGCGAAAACCCGTGGCGTGAAATGCAACACCCGGATGTCAAGGTTTCTGGGGAACGCCAGAAAGGATACTGATGCTGATGCTCGGACTTCTCCCTGGGCACGATCTGGCCAGGACTCCGGGGTGAGGCCGACCAACCGAGATGCGGGCTCCGCAAGAGGGGGCCCAAAAGAGGCGAGGAAGCGACGGCGATGTAGCGGCAGCGGCATCGGGAGTTCGCCGAACGGGAGGGGGGATGGACATGAGGTGAAGGACAACATCGGACCCGGAGAAATCGGAGATCTCTGAGATCCCACGGCTCTGGAGGATGCATCGGGCCCCGCAGCCGCCCCGGAGCGCTCCACGGAGCGCTCTGAGGGACGCCCCGGAGCGGCTCATCTCGGTCCTGGGCATGGCTTGATACGATCAGGAACTTTTGCTCTGCAGGTCGCGGCGGCGGCACTGACGACATGCCTTGCGAGTGGATAGCGTGTCGCTCCGCTTCGCTGGGCGGGGGGCTAGGAAAAGCTCCAAACTTTGACGCTTGGGGGCCGCAAAAAGGATAGCGTGTCGTGCCGAAGCATGGTGGGCCAGAACCGGCGGAGCGACACGCTATCCAAAAGTTCCCGACCGTATCCCCCCTGTCCTGACCCTACCTTGATACTGTCCTCCTTTCATTTTTACAACGCAATACGCAATGTGCAATGTGTCGCTGGTTCGCCATCGCAACTCTGGCCCGCATAGCGGGCTCCTCCCCCTTCTGGTCGCCCGCTGGACCCGCCCGCCCACGGGAGCCGCGGCAGCAGGTGGCACGCCCAGGGGAGGGGTCCTTCCTCGTCCTCATCCTCCTACTCCTAGAGCATGAAACAAATGGCTCTCGAGGAGAAGGGAAACGGCTTTCCCTGGGCCCCCGGCACCGTCAACAAATACACTTGAGGTGAATACCTCGTCCTGGGGAAAGCCCTGGGGTCTAGGACCACATTCCCTCATCGCCTCCCTTGTCGTCCTACTCTTCCCTCCTAATCCCCATTCTCGGTGAGACAATCAGGGGGGGGGAATTTGTTGGACTCGACCAAGGGAAAACGCGCGGGACACGCCCCGGAAAATGTGAGAGCCCGCAAAAAAAACTCACACCGTGCTGTGAGGGGGGGGCTCCTGTGCGGCCAACCCCCAAACCCCGACAGGCGACAGAGGATGGTCGGCATGTGGCTGATCCAAACCCTCCATGGCAGCGGGGAGGAGAGCGCTCCCCCAACTGCCCCGCTTGGATGGCAAAACTTCGCCACCGTGCCCCCCGGCACGTTGAGGCTTGTAAGGATGCCAAGGGCTGCATGGTAGGGTTTTGGGGAATCTAAGATGGGACCCCCCCCTGTACCAGCAGACTGCTGAGTGCATCCACCCTACTCACCGAGGCCACTTTCCTCGTGCCCGCTCGCGGATGGTGCACTTCCAGCATGGCGGCTGATGCCTCACCCCTCCTTCCACGCATGCCCGCTCGACGATTGTGCACTTCCCGCATGGCTCATGCCTGACCCCCCCTTCCACGCGTGCCAGCTCGAGGATGGTGCACTTCCCGCATGGTAGCTAGTGCCTGAACGGCCCTTCCACGCGTGCCCGCTAGAGGATGGTGCACTTCCCGCAGGGCTGCTAATGCCTGAACCCTCCTTCCACGCGTGCTCGCTCGAGGACTGCACGCTTCCCGCAGGGCTGCTACCTCCTAGACTTCTCATCCCACGCGCACCCGCTTGAGGATCGTGCACTTCCCGGGTTCCCAGGCTCTGCGCCCAATCGCTCCAGGGCCTCCCCAACAAGATTAGACGAGAAGATGGAAAAGGAGGAGTGATGAGGATGAAGATGGCCTCATTCCCCTCTTCTTGTCTCACTCCTCCTCTACTCGTCCCCCCCCCCCGATATCTGCTCGTCCTCCTAATCCTCGTCCCTCCTCCTCCTCCTCCTCCTGCGCATCCTATCCGTCTTCCTCCCCATATATCCGAAGTGGCGATAAATATCATGACGAAGGGCTCAACCAGATGCAGCCGTGAGAACCGCCGTTGTGAGAAGCGCCTTCCGTGGAGCTCACTACGGGGCCACGAAGCGCGTGAAGGGAGCGCCGAAGCGAGGCGGGGCCGCCATGCAGGAGCTGCCGCTGGGGCCGCACGCAGGGGGCGCGGAGGTCAGACGAAACGGGTTCCATTGCTGATGTAGCCCGTTGGCGCTGACAGGCACGGGGAGAAGCGGCGGGAGAAGACATGCGGGCGCGGCAGGCGGTCGCAGCCGCTGGGGCCTTCGGTGGAGCTCCCTACTGGGACCACGAAACGTGTGAGGGGTGTGCCAGAGTGAGGGGGGGGGCGGCATGCGGGCGCAGCCACTGGGGCCTTCGGTGGAGCTCCCTATAAGGCCACGAAGCGTGTGAGGGGTGTGCCAAAGTGAAGGGGGTGAAGGGAGTGTCGAGCTGGTTGACATGCGGAGGGCAGAGGCAAGGGTGGGAGGAGGGAAGAGCGGGCTGAGGAGGAGGAGGAGGAGGAGGAGGAGGAGGAGGAGGAAGAGGAGGAGAAGAGAGGAGGAGAGGTGGACGCGGGGACCGTCTCTTCAAAACGAGAACCCCACACCACAGGATGGCTGGGGAAAAACACAACATTGCGAAACACCGCGGCCAGAGCCCCAGACCCCATCTTTCTGTATCGTTTTCCGAGCCGGATCGGTCAGTGGCTCTGGGGCCCGAAGCGAGACAGAATCGCCCGTCGCAGCAACAAAGCGACGCCAGAGTCTGAAGGTCATCTACCTCTTTCTTCCCTCCTCCTCCCTCCACCTCCTCCTCCTGTTCCTTCTCCCTCCTCCTCCTCCTCCTCCTCCTCGCTATCCCTCCCCACCCTCCCCGAACGTGACGCACCCTACCCACCCTCCGTTGCCCCGCTCCGCTCTCCGGCACGCCACCCGGGGCGAGCCCGCGGCCCCAGAGCCCCGACGTCGCGATCCGCTCACGCCGCGGACCCCGTGGAGTCCTCGACCCCCCCGAGCAAGACAGCCTCAATCGGGCCCTTGCTCCTGGATTTCGGACCTGGGAGGCCGTTGTCGGGCAGAGGGGCCCATCAAGGAAGGCTCCGCGACGCACACTGCCCCAGGAGGTCGGGACGCCCCGGGGCCGCACAGTGGAAAATCTTGCCGGAGGATGTCTGGGCCGCCCGGAGGTTTCGACCCCCTTCCCCAGGACAGGTTTTTCAATCGCGAGTCGTTTTTTGATCATCACGAGGTTTTGCCAGGCCCTCCAGAGGCCAACGATGGTGGACGATTCGCCTGGCGAAGGACCCAACCATGCGCAGTTGTGAATACCGTCGTTGTATACACCGCACTCGGAGGAGCTCCCTACAGGGCCACGAAAGGTGTGAGCAGTGTGCCGAAATGTGTCCGGCGGGCGCATGTGAAAGCAGCCACTGGGGCCGTCGGAAGAATTCCCTTATGGAGCTACGACGCGCGTGAGGGGTGTGCCGACGTGGGTGCGGCGGGCGCATGCGAACGCAGCCACTGGGGCCTTCGGTGGAGCTCCCTATGGGGCAACGAAGCGTGTGAGGGGTGTGCCGACATGGGTGCGGCGGGCGCATGCGAACGCAGCCACTGGGGCCTTCGTTGGAGCGCCCTGCAGGGCCACGAAGCGTGTGAGGGGTGTACCAACATGGGTGTGCGTGACGCATGCGGGCGGTGGCACTGGGGCCTTCGGTGGAGCGCCCTATGGGGCCACGAAGCGTGTGAGGGGGTGTGCCGACATGGGTGTGCGTGACGCAAGCGGGCGGTGGCACTGGGGCCTTCGGTGGAGCTCCCTATGGGGCCGCGAAACGTGTGAGGAGTGTGCCAAAATGGGTGTGCGTGACGCATGCGGGCGTTGGCACTGGGGCCTTCGGTGGAGCGCCCTGTAGGGCCACGAAGCGTGTGAGGGGTGTACCAACATGGGTGTGCGTGACGCATGCGGGCGGTGGCACTGGGGCCTTCGGTGGTGCGCCCTGCAGGGCCACGAAGCGTGTGAGGGGGTGTGCCGACATGGGCGTGCGTGACGCAAGCGGGCGGTGGCACTGGGGCCTTCGGTGGAGCTCCCTATGGGGCCGCGAAGCGTGTGAAACGTGTGAGGGGTGTGCCGAAATGGGTGTGCGTGACGCATGCGGGCGGTGGCACTGGGGCCTTCGTGGAGCGCCCTGTAGGGCCACGAAGCGTGTGAGCGGTGTACCAACATGGGTGTGCGTGACGCATGCGGGCGGTGGCACTGGGGCCTTCGGTGGAGCGCCCTATGGGGCCACGAAGCGTGTGAGGGGGTGTGCCGACATGGGTGTGCGTGACGCAAGCGGGCGGTGGCACTGGGGCCTTCGGTGGAGCTCCCTATGGGGCCGCGAAGC